CGTCATTCTGAGGTTATTTTAATATGCATTTTTCAACAATTTTTACAAATTTAAATAATTTTTCATTCAGCATTTTAAATTCCAAAATTGGTTTGACAGTTCATTGTCCCAGCAGCTGCGTCGATGCGTCTACCTATATTCTTTTACCATGGATAGAGCTAAAAAATTTGGTAGAATAATCAAGGTGAGTTTGATATATGAAATTGATTTTGAACGAAGTGAGCGAACTGTACTAAATGGTACAAGTTTGGAACAGTTTGGTTTAGATTGAACGGGTGAAGCTTAAAATTATTAAATTGTGTATTGGGGTTCTTTTTTGGTGGTAGGTTTGTTATAAAAAGGTGGTTTTGGAAGTGTGTACCACAAATGCACGAAAATTGCAAAATTGAAAAAAAAATGTGAAATTTGAAAATTGAAATTTCGTAAAATTTTTTATTGGTTAAACAGATAGTGTTTGAAAACTGATATCTGGTATTAGGGGGGCTATTTGAATGTAGCCCTGGACATACAGAGGTGGTTTCAAAAATGTGTACTATGATTGTACGAAAAGTACGGAATGATACTATATTTCGTATGAGTGAAAGGATAGATAAACAATTCTGACATTTGATATTGAGATTACTGATGGTATCTGTGTTTGTAATTTTGTGGTGGTTTGGAAATGCGACCAATAAAGTACAAAAGTACTAAATTTGGTATTGGATAAAGGGCTAGAATCCTCAAATTTCATATAGAGCTCCATGTTGGTATATGGAATTGAGATGTGGACGTGGCTTTAGAAATGTGTACTATAACTGGTCTTGGGCGAAACCTTGAAAATCACCTCAAAATTTGTTAAATTGAGAGTTGCTTTCACTTCCAAGGCTTCCTCAAATGATTAAAATGATGACAAAAATATGCATAAATGAGTAAAAAAAGCTAAGTTCGGCCTGTCCGAATATTTGATACCCTCCACCATTTTGAAGGAGCTTGAAAAGTTTTAAAATAATCCGTAGAAAAATAACTCTCGAATGCAATTTTATGTCATAGGTTGTAGTATCCATTACGAACTTCAAATACCAAATTTGAAACAATTCCGATGAATAACGTCGCTAAAATTATCAAATTACCGAATATCGGGAGGTAACGTTATATGGTGGCTATACGAAAACGTGGACCGACATGACCGACCATTTACGAACTTAACCTGCCTACTGCCAAAATACGCATGTGTGCGAAATTTTAGCCTGCTATCTCAATTCGTTCGGAAGATAGCGTGATTACAACAGATAGACAGACGGGCATGGCTAAATCGTCTCAGAATTGTACTGAGTTACTCATTCTATTGCAATTTAGCAACTTTTGAAATTCAGCTCAGTCAACACTCCTTATTGTGAATTATTACAAAGCCTTCTTACTCAGTACATTTTATTGCATTTAGTCAGCTGAATTTTGAGTTTGAGACATAATTTTGAAATTCAGCTGACACACCTAACACACCTAATTTGGAAAAATATAAAATTTTTTAAACCACTTTATAATGGCTTAAGTCATCGGCTGGCTTCTTTGCATGTCAACCTAAAGCTCCTTTGTTCGATTATGAAAAAGTCAGCCGACGGGTTAAACCAATGAAAAAAAGCGTTTTATGTTTTCTCACCTTTAAACCAGTTAATGACATGTTTACGTTAGAACTTTTTGCAGGGTTAACCAACTTGAAGAGGATTTATTTGAAGTATTAGAAATGACTATGACAATTTTTATCCAAACCAGTGGGTTTACCCATTTATATGTAAACGTACTGTAAAAACCTTTTTATTTTGTGTATGTACTCATTGTTTTGAAAAATAAAAACAAAATATTTTCAAAATTAATGATTGGAAACATGGGAAATAAATCGAGGTAGATTCATTTGCTAAATGGAATATGTCAACCCTTATCTGAAGAACTCGACCTTGTCATTTTTCTCAATTAAATTTATTTTGATATCTGAAATTTTTACAAACGAACGAAAACTTACGCGGAAAATTTCCTGTAATTAATTTAATGCCAATTGACCTGAAAATGAGGGATAACAGAGTTCTACCAGTATTATAGAAAACCAGGCAATATAATGTCTTCATACTTGTTCCAGCTGAAGCAAAATTCAACCATTCCATAATCAAGTCTTAAATGACTTATCAGACTGTTAGTTTAGTTTTCTGTTTTTAACTGTATTCTTCTTTGACTTTTATACCCTCTAAAAGGCGTGAAAATAACAACATATCTAACAACATATTTAAAAACATATTTTATATAAATTTGACAAAAAGGGGCATCAAATAAAAAATATTTATTCGTTTAGATTATATTTTTGAAAGAAAGTCCAGATATTTCATTCATTTTTCGAGCAATTTAACACATTTTAAAAATTTGGAAAAATGTCGAATAAACAAAAACAACTTGTTGCACGTAATTTTGATAGAAAGCAGACATTGCCTCAGGGCTGTATTTCTGTATTTTTACGAAGCTATTTAACCTCCTTATTGTACTAAGCATGGTACAATAATTACATGGTAGGGAAAATTGATTAAATTTAAAGGAAAATCGCAAAAAACGAAAGGAACGCCGAGGATTTTTCACAACATCGAGATCCTCATGGTAGAATTAAGAAGATAAAGTCTTGCTATTATATGTTTACAATTTTTCTCAAAATTATTCATTTGACAACTCTCATTGTCAAAATGTATATTTATAAAACCAATCACCATACACAAATCAGAGATGGGAACCTGCTTTCCATGCAGTAAAATTTGGCAAGCTAAATTACAGAAAATGCAAAGATGGGAACCTTCTTAGTTTTACCATGGAGATCCTAATATGATTGCAACTCTTTTTCATCCATTTCTTCTTCTCTAAAGCTGTAATTTAAAATTAATTTCAACAGAATTTGATTTTTTTTAAGATATTGTTTATTATGTAAAACAACACATATAAAAACAGGTGGTTCCAATGTCCACCTTGTACCATGCATTGGTATCATCAACTCTGTACTGGAGTCTTATTGTTAAACATGTAATTTTTTACAATTTATCGCAAAATTATTATATTGGGGAAAACCCGCAAGCTTGAATTGAACATTGGAGATTCTCCACAGAATTGATCCAAGAAAATAGAAAAATGTTGTTTTATCCCAATAAATTATGTATATTAAAGCCCTACCTAAAATTCAACATGCCGTATACATCAACCTAACACGGTGCAGCAACGATTGGAAACATTGATATGTCAAAAATTTTAAAATGTTTTCACAAAAATAAGTAGATTTTTATATGTTTTCTTATACGACACAAATCGGGGTTTGTTATGATGTGAATTTATCAACAATATTTACAAATTTCAATCATTTTTAATTCAGAAATTTTTAATTTTAAAATGAAATGTCATTGTCCAGCAGCTGTGTCAATGCGACTACCTGTATTCTTCTACCATGTTGATTTCATTGTATCCATGGTACAATAAGGAGGTAAAACAGCTCGGTAAAACTACAGAAATACAGCCCTCAGGCTGTTGCCTGTTTCCAGTCAGAATTATTCAAAATTATAAGCACAAGTTGTTTTCATTTATTTGATTTTTTTTTTCATTTCTAAAATGAGTAAAATAGCGCGAAAGATGAATGAAATGCCTAAATGTTCGCTCAAAAATAGATCTCAAGTCTTCAATATTTCAATTCCATGGCAAATGTTGTTAATTTATCAAAGCGCGCCCCGCAATTTAAGTTTCTTCCAAACATTGATTTTGAAAATATTTTGTTTTTATTTTTCAAAACAACAAATACATACACAAAATTGGCAAAAGTCGGACACACTTAGAAAAAAATTGTAATCAGCTGGAAGCTCTACCTTACCTTTTTATTGTACCATGTGTATACCTATTGTATATCAAGAAATGGAATTAAATCACAAAACGTCATACCGAAATTGATACTAGCAATACCTTGGCAGAAGAATACAGGGAGCATTGGTATGTCAAAAAAAATTAAATGCTTTTTCAAATATAAGTAGAATTTTATATATTTTCTTATACTACGTCATTCGGAGGCTATTATAATTCGCATTTTTTCAAAAATTTTTACAAATTTAAATAACTTTTCCATGAGCAATACCATAGAGTGAAATCAGATGGGGTTTGCATCTTTCTGTAATAATTATACCATGGTGTGCCCGACTTCTGTCAAATTTGTATTTATTGTTTAAAAAAATAAAAACAAATATTTTTAAAATGCATGTTTGGAAGAAATATACATTGCCGCACCCATATTTAAAATATTAACAAATTTTGCCATGGAATTGAAAGATTGAACCGTTTCGAATATATATGTGAAGGAAAATCCAGGTATATCATTCATAATTCGAGTTATTTTACGGTGCCCGAACATAATCCTCAACGCAATTATGGGGATTATGTTCGATTTTTGGAAGCCTTTGGTTTGGTAGAGCTACCACTTAATTTGACTGTGATATTTGTATGCTGTACTTGACCTCTTGTACTAAATATCTTTACTATGGAGTACGAGTTATAACTTTGGCTCAAGGCTTACATTTAAAATACAATGAAAAATATAAATAACTATATAAAAAAAATATTAAAACATTATAGACCGGAATTGTTTCAAATTTCGTATTCATAGCTAGTAGCTCTTATATAACAGTACCTCCATTTATTCGGTATTTTGATGATTTTAACGACATTATTCACCGGATTTTTTACACATTTCGTATTTGAAGATCTTAATGGATACTAGAGCCTATGACTCATTCGGGTCCAAGCATTCCTTTTTATTGAACCATGGTACAAATGATATTCAATACTTGTTCATTCGGTGAACTGACAACTTGGATGGGAGAAAATCGTGTTTCTAGAAACCTTTAAACTGAATTTATCGATCTTTGGAGCACTTTAGGGTACAAGTTTCGAATTTCTAGAACCCTTTAATAATCGTTGGTTTTGCTTTGATTTTTGTCTTTATCACGCATTTTCGCTTCGTTACTGTTTTCTTTTTTCTCTTATTGTGTGCGTCGGTCGTGAAAAGATATTGATTCCGTGCAATCTTTTTAATTTATTAATAGAAAGCGCAAAAATAAAAGCGTTATTGTTTTCGGCAAATATAATTAAAGTCGACTTGGGCATAGAAACAAATATCCCATTACATTAATTGCAAGTATTGACTGCCATGGCATCTTTAGAACCAGCTCAAAATAAAACCTGGGACTTGTCGTTGTATGAATTACAACGCAAGCCTCAGGAAATAATTACCGACAACACAGAGATTGCTGTATCGCCAAGAAGTTTGCACAGTGAGCTAATGTGTCCCATATGTTTGGATATGCTAAAGAAGACAATGACCACCAAGGAATGTTTGCATCGTTTTTGCCAGGACTGTATTATCACAGCTTTACGTTCGGGCAATAAAGAGTGTCCAACGTGCCGTAAAAAGTTGGTGTCAAAACGTTCTTTGAGACCAGATCCCAACTTTGATTTACTCATATCGAAAATCTATCCCAGTCGTGAAGAATATGAGGCCATACAGGAAAAGGTCATGGCTAAATTCAATCAAACACAATCGCAACAGGCATTGGTAAATTCCATTAATGAAGGCATCAAATTACAAAGTCAAAATCGACCACAACGTTTCCGTACCAAGGGCAGTGGTGGTGGCAGGAACTCACAGGCAAATGGCACAAATCACAATTCTTCACATTCACACAATGTTTCAAATGAGAGCAATACAAATGGCAATGAGAGTGATAGCAATCGGGAAAACTCCACAGGACCAGCTAATGTTGCCGTACGGGCGGCAACTCCACCACCCCCGACACATTCGACCACACCGACTGCAGTTACTGGTAATATTGTTGCAACATCATCTACAGGAATAGCAAATCAGGGTGCCAGCACATCCACGACACGCATAGATGATGGTGGTTCTAATCCACCATCGGTACGTTCTACGCCCTCACCAGTACCCTCAAACTCAAGTAGTTCAAAACCCAAACGAGCAATGTCCGTCTTAACCTCGGAAAGATCAGAAGAATCTGAATCCGATTCACAAATGGATTGTCGCACAGAAGGTGATTCCAACATAGACACCGAAGGCGAAGGTAACGGGGAATTGGGTATAAACGATGAAATCGAATTGGTTTTTAAGCCTCATCCCACTGAAATGGCTGCGGATAATCAATTGATGAAGGCATTAAAGGAAAACTGTATACGTTACATTAAGACCACGGCAAATGCTACTGTCGACCACTTGAGCAAATATTTGGCATTGCGTATGACCCTCGATTTGGGGTCAGAATTACCCGAGGCATATCGAATGCTTAATTTATGCATTTATATTGCACCCCAACCCTCACAATTGGTTATTCTAAATGGAAATCAGACCCTGCATCAAGTCAATGAGAAATTCTGGAAAGTTAACAAGCCCATGGAAATGTTTTACTCTTGGAAGAAATCTTAAAAATGGCTGCCACCTTCTGGATGACCCCTCCAGAAAATGACAAACAGACAGTAGCAGTCCGACAATTACTTTTGGCAAATATCCTGTAGCAAGTGTACATTGCGAAGCAAATTTGTAAAAATGCTGTGCTCTGTGGTCCTCTCAGTTGACTTTTTCTCTCTTTTTTTCCTTTATATTTAATAGACTAGACGTATCCGTAGTACATATTTAATTTAGTTTTAATCAGGAATATTTATATGCAAAACTATTACGTACTCACATATATAATGTGTAATTGCTTTTAATGTTTGTCATTACGATCCATCACTTAATAATATACATATATAAAAATAAAGTAATAACGCATTAAAAAAAATGAAATTTTATTTACGATTACAATTTGGTACACAAAAATTAGAAATTCTTCTTTTATTTGTTCTTCAAAAAATACACTATTTTAGGGCCATTTGTCTGTTTTTCAAAGACTGTACTAAAAAATGCAGTGGCTCCTTTAAAAAATAATCGAAGAAACCACGATTTTCTTCAAGAAAAATTGAAAAATTAACTCTTGGGGAGAATATTGGTGACATTTTCCGAAACCATTTTTCCCTGCCCTGGTAAAATGCACCTGATAAACATTACCATCTTTCTTCACTAGTAAATAAACGCTGTCTTTATTAAAACAACGATTATGGGATTAACAACAATTATGTTGCAACAATAAAATTAGAAACATTGGGTTCGTACGTTCTTAAAACGATTGATCATGAGCCCTTCCAAAATTATTTTAATAACTTCACCTTATTTGATTTATATCTAAAAGAATATTTTTTTCTATAAGTCCCTCATAATAATTCACAATTTTGGTCCACTCTACCTTGAAAAATATTTTTAAAAACTACAGTTTGTCTTCATAATATATTCTTAAAATCTACAGTCTTTGGTCCTACTAAATATTTTTTTTTTTTTCAAAAACTAGGCTTTTGGTCTATTTTTCATTCAAACAATTATGTGTAAAAAATCACCCTAAAAAATCGCATGTAGCTTTGCCGATTGAAAGGTCTTTCAAAATATTCATTGAATAATTTTTATTTATTTATTTTTTTTTTTTTTTTAATTTATTGAAGTAATAAAATATTTTTCTTACATTTAATTGACAAAAAATCTACTTAAAAACTGGTAAAGCTAAATAAGAGTAAATGGTGTATATAAACAAAATAAACACAGTTCTTGCCTGAAGAACTAAAAAAAAATAAAAAAGCTGTCTAATTAAGTAACTACAGTTTCGTTTTATAGGGAATATACAAATACACTTGATATCACTAAAATATCAAGAGTTTTTTTTTTATAAAAACTAATAAATTATGTTATAAACATAATACAATATGGAGGGATATAAAAGTATAAATAGGTATATTTATATTTAATGAAATGTAACAAAAGCTCTTGTTTGTGATGACATTGATCATTTGGTGCAGTAATCGGTTGTTGTATCATTGGTGAATTGCGAAGGGGCAGTAATAATTATTTCATATAAAAAAGGTTCATTGTCATTAGTGAAAGCACTTTCGGTAAATGTTAAATTATCAGTTCCTGAGAAGCACCCAGAATTTATGATAAACCCTAATTTCATTTCTCATCTCAGAGCTGACTTAGTTTTTCTGCCAAAGCATCACGATAGCCTTTATATTCTTCACTCTCTTCGATTGCATTTCGCAGTGTACCCTGCACACGCAACAGACAACGTGTTATCTTATCACTATCGCCCGTTTTAATTTGTTCATTTAATTCTTTCTCCAATTCTCTGGGTAATCCCAAATCAACTAATTCATCCAACTCATCCAGGGTGATGACACCAATATGTGGTTTCATATATTCTCCACATAACTCATAGACTTCAATATATTGTTCGGAAAGCGATTTGTCACCGCAACGATTTCTTTGTAAGTAACTTTTAAATAATTTCACAGCTTGACGATCGATTAGTGTTGCTTGCAGTGTTAGGTAATATATTCGTTGAACTTCTTCTGGGGTCATATCTTGACAGCCACAAAAACATTTCAATAGGCGGACTGCCGTACCCTGCAAGATAAAGTAATTGAAAGATATAAGTTATAAATAAATTAAGAATCATAAAAGGAAATTAATTAACGACTTTTATTAACTACACGAAAACCACAAAACGTATTAGCGAACTTATAATAGTTATCAGTAATCTTTCAATTATATGAGAAAAATGTTAACAATTTTGATAGATTTCACATTAGTTTTACAGTATAGAATGAAGTGTGTGCTTTCTACAGTTTATGGTGATTAGCATATTGAGATTTGACAGACTTGGAATGGCCTACATATTTTATCAATTATTTACGCAATCCGTAAGAAATAAGTTTATCTTGTTACGCTTAGGTGATCATCACCACGATATCAAGTTACTTACTTGTTAAATAATAAAGGACATTAATAATAGTTAAACTTAAGTTACAAAGAATTGGACAATCTATCACCTAAAATTATTTTATAATTTTATTTATGAAAACAAATCGATGTGATATTATTTGCTGTTTTGTTTAGTTTTAGTAAATATTACAACATACGACTGAGTTCTTGAAACGCTTTCCAACAACCTATGTGCCCAATTTGTGCAAAGTATGAAACTTGATAACATAAATAAATTCAGAAATTCTTCGTTGAATATATTTATACACCCAGAAGGCATCAATTCTTTACGGCATGAGGTAAGCAAACGGAAGAAAGACCGGTCTAAATAATCTGCAGAATGAATAGAAATTTCTTTTGTGAAATAGTTAACATATGGATCATATTTTTTCATTCATTGTTTTATATACACAGACACACATACTACATACATTATGTACTATAATTCCCTTCGTTACCTTGTATGAGCTCATTCTGTTTGGTTTCTGTGGATGCCGCTTTTCCTTACAACGAAATTGAAATTGTGTGAAAATAATCTTGTGAAATATCAACGTTTGCAAATATATACTTTAGAATGTCACGTAAATAGATTTTCTTAGAAATTTTTGCACAATTATATTATCAGTCAATAAAACAAACAAATGATATATTGCCAAAAATCAAGCCAATGTTCTTGTATGTCCCCTTATCATTGTTGTTATCACAAATGTTATTGTTATTGGCCGCAAGCACTTTTTCGTTGCATCCCAATCACACGCCAAGATTGTGAATATTTTTATTATGTTGGCTTTACTTTTAATTTTAGTTGCAATACAGTAAAATATAATTATTGCCAAAATTTAATGCTATTCGCTAATAAATTTCACATGTTTGTTTGGGTACACACAACTAGAGTATACGTCAGCTGTCAAACAAATTTCATGTTGCCAACTACAAAAATGAAATCAAATTGTGATTTTTCTAAAAGAACGTTTACATCCAAATCTTTATCTGATCACAATAAAACTGTATTCACGGATACATTTTGTGTGTAAACGCGGTAAAGCGTTTAAAACACATTTCTACCAAACTCAAGCAGGTTAAGACTAGATACACTCATAATAAATCCAGTGGCTTTCAATTGTCAATTCCATTTGGTATATACCAAATGAAATCCTCTCAATTTATGAAATCCATACATTTATGCATGGTACAATGAAGAGAAGGTGGACTCACTTGGAAAAAGTTGCACGTAACGAGGTCTACCTTTAAGGATTTTAATGTCAAAAGTACTGATGGCAGAAGAACACAGGTAGATGTATCAACGCTTAGGAGCAATGATATGTCAAAAAAACTTAAATGCTTTTTCAAATATAAGTAGATTTTTATATGTTTTCTTATATGACGTCATTCGGAGGTTATTATAATTCGGGTTTTCAAATTTTTTTTACAAATATAAATAATTTTCATTCAACATTTTCACTTCCGAAATTGGTTTGACAGTTCACTGTCCCAGCAGCGATGCGTCTACCTATATTCTTCCACCATAGAAGTGCTATCAAAACAAATGCAACCTGTTGCATTAATTTTGAATAAATATTTAAAAAAAGAGAAAACTGATTGAAAGATCATACTTCCTTTTTAAAATCATGTTCTACATATCCCTACATATTTAATTCGTTACAAAAATTGAAAGATATTCCCTAGCATACGTTGAAATAAGCATTCTGAAATCAATTGAATTTGTATATTTTCTAAACAATTTTCAAAAATTGAAAATAATACAAAAGCATACATAAATAAAGTTGACATGTTAAACTAAGAAAATAAAAAAATTAAAATCATATGATAGTTCCGCCCTACCTGAAGGAATTTGAAAAAAAACAGTGAGTGGAGTAATCTAAGTTCACATGGCACGTTATTCGTTCTCTATTTGTTTATTTAAAAAAATCTACTTTATTCCCCAGGCAGAAGATCGAACAAAGATTTTGTTTTTGTGTGTCATCGGAAGTCGACTTTCTTATCCCTACTTTAGTGCAATGAAAGGAAAATTGGCGCGGAATCTTCGAAAGATACAAGGACTTACCATCGAATTTGTTCGAATTTGGAACAGACCATAACTTGAACAGGACATATTAGTTGAACAAGAATTTTAAATCGACTATGGAGTACTCGGTTTTCACCCAAGTCCATAGTCGAGTTCGGCAAACGATAGTAGCAACTAGTTCCGCGCTCTTTAGTGAAGATGTTCAATTTTCTCACGTCTCATTCGTAAACAACAGAGTACCCCGAGTCTTTGCTTTCTGTTTATTTTTTATCGGGTATTCCTTTGTGGCCTTCATATTCGTTTGGTTGGGACTTTTCATTTTTTTCCAACGCTCGCAACGAACAACCAACCAAACGAAAGCGCACAGCTTTAATAACAAATTAAACAAATTAAAAATAAAAATACACTAGAAAAATAATAAATTATGGCTGCAGCACGCTCACGGAGATCAAATGCTGGTAATAGAATAGCAAAACTTTTAAATGAAGAAGAAGAGGATGAGTTCTACAAAACATCGTATGGTGGTTTCCAAGAGGAGGAAGAGGATAAGGAATATGTGTAAGTTGGAACATAAAACATAAATTATGAAGGAAAATCCTATATTCTCCTCAATTGTTTTTATTTTAGGCAAAAGGACGAAGAGGAAGATGTCGTAGATTCCGATTTCAGTATTGATGAAAACGATGAACCCGTGTCGGATCATGATGAGGAGGAGGGAAAGAAAAGGAAACGTGCCGGTATTAATACAAAGGCTTATAAGGTATTTCTATAGAAATGTTTGATGGTATCCATGTCGTTGTTTATTACTATATTTGTGTTCACAGGAACCTGCCAAACCCAACAAAAAAGATGAGAAATCTGCAGCCATAAAGAAAAAGGTTACAAAAGTTGTTAAACGCAAAACTCGCGCCAAGTTCACAGTTCTTGACTCGGGCAGAAAATCAATTCGTATGTCTACGGCCATAAAAACACAGGCTACCAAAATCCGTCTCAAAGAAATGGACGATGCTCGTAAGAAAAAGAAAAAGGTTGTACGAGTAGAAGAATACATGCCGACACAGGAAGAGTTGTTGGAGGAGGCCAAAATTACGGAAGAAGAAAATCTCAAATCACTGGGTAAGTAATAGCGGTAGTCTTAGTAATATATCAAAAGGAGTTTGTCCAATATTCCTTTTTATGCCCTCCACCATACTATGGAGGGTATATAGATTTAGCCATGTCCGTCTGTGTGTCTGTCTGTTGTAATCACGCTATCTTTCGAACAAATTGAGATAGAAGGCTAAAATTTTGCACATATGTATATTTTGCCAGTGTGCAGGTTAAATGGGCCATGTAGGCCCAAGTTATCATATAGCTCCCATATAACGGTACCTCCCGATATTCGGTATTTTGATGATTTTAGCGACATTATTCACCGGAATTGTTTCAAATTTGGCATTAGAAGTTCGTAATGGATACTACAGCCTAAGACAGAAAATAATCTGTGTAGGTCCACGTCTTCGTATAGCCCCTATATAACGGTACCCCCGATATTCGGTATTTTTGATGATTTTAGCGACATTATTTAACGGAATCGTTCGAAATTTGGCATTTGAAGTTCGTAATAGATGCTGCAGCATAAAACAGAAAATGGGCCATGTAGGTCCACGTCTTCGTATAGCCCCCATATACCGTACCCTCGATATTCGGTATTTTGATGATTTTAGCGAAATTATTTACCGGGATTGTTTCAAATTTCGCATGTGAAGTTCGTAATGAATACTTCAGCCCATGTCAGAAAATTGTCTGTGCAGGTCCACGTCTTCGTATAGCCCCCATATAACGGTACACCCTATATTCGGTGTTTTGATGATTTTAGCTACATTATAAACAGATTTTTCTTCAAGTTTCGCATTTAAATATGGTAATAACTTATGACAAAAGTTGTCTATGCAGGTCCACGTCGTCGTATAGGCATTCGGTATTTTTAAGATTTTAACAGAATTTTTAACGGATTTTATTTTTTTTTTTGGAAATTGTCAAATTTGTACCAAATGGTGGAGGGTATTAAAAGTTCGGCCCGGCCGAACTTACATCTTTTTTTCTTGTTAAATTTTGCATGAGAACTACGATTGGTTCGTAGACGCTTGTAGGACTGTATTTTTAACATTTTTACTAGAATGTAAAAATATGTACTAAATAAGGTACAAACATGTATTAAGGTTTGAGATATAAACTATGGCGTAGATATTTAAATTCGCTTAAAAATTGTACTTTGAAGCTAGAATTCTGAAGATGGTTAAAAATATTATGCAAAATTTAGTTTCCAAAAATTCCATAATTGTTCGTACTGAATAAGGCGACTATACTACTTGGTGCGAGTTTTGAAATTTTCCACGAATCTTCCCAACTTACCAGAATGTATTAAAAATTACAGACGAACCGGAAACAATGGTTGGCTTTGCGCAAACATGTCGGACGTCAGACATTTGTTTCACTCGCGGTAGCTCTGCCCTACAATATTTGAAAGGTCCTTTAGAAAATATTTCATCTTCAAAGGTCTTCTGGAAAATATCTTAATATCATGCATTCAAAGTCCTTATGAAAATATTCTTTAATGACAATAGTACAAAAACTACAAAAACTTCTTTTGACAATAAACTTAGTAGTTTTTGCACCATTGCGATTTGACTCTCTGCATTTCAAATCACAATAAGTTTTTTGACGGCAACTTTAGTTGCCAGATGGCTTGCTGGCCGACCTTATACAGAGTTGCCCATATTCGACGGACCCATGACTCTTTGGGCCCATTCCAATCGACGAGGCTTGTCCGCAGGCAACATTCTTTGCGTCAATTGAATTTTGTACGGGAACAAATGCAAATCAATGCGAATAATCCGTTGTAAAGTGGACCAAGCCATGCCCAACTGCTGAGAACGGCGTTTTCGGGATGTTCTTGGGGACCTCTCAACACTGGCTCGTACGGCAGCGATATTCTCGGCCGATCGCCTTGGTCGACTTTTATATGGCCTCTACGGATTAGAAATAGCCTTACCAGTCGAAAATTTTTCGTATAAACGCTTAATGGTGTTCTTAGAAGGAGCACTTTAATGTTTTAAAAGCACGTTGAGTTTTCACAATTGACTTCTTCTGTTGAATGTAAATTTCAACTATTTCGCGTGGCGTGTATTGGTTCATGGTAAAAATCTGCTTGAAATGACGCTTCAAACGCGGTATGTCATTAAGCGATGTGACATCTCTGTCAAAAGTTATGGCGTTGCCAGATGGATCCGTCGAATATGGACAACCCTGTATATGCCATGGTTCGAGATCAGGGCACAACTACAAAATGTAGAACAAAGCATAAATACATTTTTTTTCTTTTGGGGCCCTTATTCTGTCAAAACATATACACATTTGGTGTATGTGTATGTATTGTTTTGAATAAAAATAAATAAATAAATAATATGAAATTATTTCAAATTCGGTTGCAAAATAAATGCATATTTTCGACGCTAATGGGCAGCTCATTGTACAATCTTGGAATGAATCTGTATTGTCCTACTACTTTAGATTCAACCTGGTGAAAGAACCTCAAAATTGCATTCTTGTTTCGCGGGTTTTCCTTAATATATGGATTTGGTTAAAAAAAATTAAGAATAAACAAAACCAACTGTTTCATATTTTAAAGTCTATTTGACACTATAAGACTCCAGCACAGAGTTGCATTTTTATAGTTTCTTTGAAGTTGAGCATCCTTTCTTTTTGAGCCATGGTCACCATTGTGATTTGGCTTTCTTCGAATTCCAAATGACAATTATTGTTTTGTTCCAGAACCTAAAAGAATCTATTGTTTTTTTTTTCGATATCATAAATGAAAACTTGGTTATCGTCATGGTACAATAAGTAGGTAAAACAGCTTCTTAAAAGTATAGTTAATAGAGCCCTGCGGCTATGCCCGCTTCCTGTTAGACCCATCTAAAATTATATACAACAAATTGTTGCCATTTATTTCATATTTTTTCTCATTTTTAAAATGAGTTATATACACGAACAAAATTGGCAGAAGTCGGGCACACATAGAAAAAAATTGTAATAAGCTGGTATCTCCACCTTACCTTTGGATTATCGTAGTAAAAAGTTTTACATCCTTGCAGTTCTAGGACAGAGCATATGATTTTGACAGTAAACATGGTTATCAGATGCGCTTTCTTGCCGATCCATGTTGCCAAAAGAAATAAATGTGATTTGAAATTTAAAGACTGTCAAATAACAATATTGCAAAAAACTATTAAACTTATTGTCAAATTGTTGTCAATGGCTGCCAAAAGACTAAGCTCTGTCATTTTAGGGGTTACACTTCTCTAAAACTTACTTCTGAAAAGCTGTCGATTGTACCTCTCAAAGTACTATAGAAAATAGTTATTTAAAACTCGGACTGAAGCTCATAAAATGATAAAGAAATTATTCGCAATTAATCCACGAATGCATTTTGTTACGGCAGGTTTTATATTGCTTTTTAAAACGGGGTTTTAAGTATTTATGACAGCAGACATTATCAAATCATACAAATTCATATCTGACGCTTTGGGAGTATTTGACAGTCCCCTAGAAAAATTCCTTAAAAAATCCTAGTTTAGCAATAACACTCGGATCGATCTGACTTTTTTTCTTTTGATAAATCTTGGTTAACTGACCAAGTTCGGACAAAAAACCGAAATATAACTGTTTTTTAGGACCGAATGCGTATCAAATAAAATTTATTAAACTTAATTATACTTAAAGATTATCTAAATATCCGGCCTTGGGCTGGGATTAATACTTTCTATAAATTTCGACTACGTGGCCAAACTTTTTCCTAAAACTAAAAGTTTACCAAAGTAGCCGTTCTTATACCGACAGGTACAAATTACGGTACCTCAGACAAAATATTCCTTAAAATGTTTATGATTTATGTTAATAACCCGAATACCCTTAACTCACAAACCGGGTTTGCCATCTTAACATAAAGAGACATCATTCGAAAGGCAATTTCTTAAGCTTACATATCGGTTCTAAATACCGGTTATATTTCGGTTTTTTTAGTCAGGAGGCCAAGATCTATGTATGGTATAAATTTCAGACCTATCCGCTGAGCTAAATATTGCCGAAAACTACAATTTTTTAATTGCTAATAATTTTAGAAATATAAAAAATAATTGTAGCTTGCCAAAAACTAATATTTATTTTTAATTGCTAATAATTTCAGAAAAAAATTGTTGTCAAATTAGCCACTAAAGTAGTCGTTATGATTTATCGATAGAAATAATGTTAAATTCACCGGCAATTAAAGCTACGAAAGTAGTTGGTAATGGCAAAAATATTAGGGAATCCCACTTTAGATTATCTTTTAGATAATATTTATAAAAACTCACGATTGTAGCTCCAGAACACGAAAATATTATTTAAAAAAACTTTACAAAATATATTATATATTTAAATTTGCAGAAAAATTCCACAAAATGGAACTGGAAAAGAAGAAAACACGTCCCACCAAACGTGTATTTACAGGTCCAATGATACGTTATCAGTCAGTAACAATGCCAGTTGTACGCAAACAAACTCGTGGTTCTGTTGCCCCACATGATCCTAACGATCCAAAAAGCAAATGTGAACGGACATTTATATCATTAGAAAATGATTTTGATGAAAAAGTTTTTCACGGTATATTTAAGAGTAAAAAATTACAGAGAAATACACCATATCTGTGTCCAATTACAAAGTACGTAGCTATACAAGTTTAAATTTGAGTTTTTTCCTATACAATATTTCCCTTATTTCTCTTTTGCAGATTACCTGCCCGATATTTTGATCCAGTTACCCAACAACCTTACTACAGCATACAAGCATTTAAGATTCTAAGGGAAGCCTACTACATGCAACTCGAAGAAAGAGGCAATACTGACAATCCAGAAATGCAAAAATGGCTGGAATGGCGTAAAATGGTCAAGGAAAATCGCCTAAAAGCCCTTGCCAGCAAAATAAACTCGTAGTCATAACCTCCTTCACCCTTGTTTTACCAATTAATTAGAACAGATTAAGATAGTTTTTATATTTTACTTGGAATGATTTTATTATAGACATGTTTCTATATCACTGATTTCCTAGTATTGGAATAATATAACATTTAACATTGATTTTTATAAACTATAAAAATATTTCTAAAAAAATAGTAAAATTAAATGATCATCATATTAATTTGACACATTTCGATTTTTCCTTTATTTTTTTTGGCCACATATGTATTTCAATAAACAACATACATATATAAATATATTTTGTATAGTAGAAAATACGGTTTGTAGTAAAAAGATATTTTGTAACATTAAATGCCAATACGTTGTTTTTGACTGTTTGGAAGTTTTGCCTTCCGTTACTAAAGGACAAAGTACGTTCTGCCATTATTCATATCTAAAAAGTAATAGCCATTATTTATTACATAAAAGTAATAGCAATATGGAAAGACATTTAAAAGTAAGAGACTTTTATATTTTCTTTTTGTCCGTTGTGCAAAAAACTTGGTTAATGGATGTCCTAAGAACACTCGTTACATTCCATTGTTAAATACAAAACCCAGCTAAACTTGCTCTCAATAAACAACTGTACTAAACTAACAAAAACAAGTCTAGACATGACGCCGTCCTTCGGTTACATCAGCACCATCAATCTGTGATTGTTATATGAGTGTATCCTCATCTTGACCTTCATATACCATTAAAAGAGAATGCTGAGAAGGCGAGCGTCCCAATGTCAAACCACCCAAAGATCCATCGGGTGAGAGCAAACCGGTTTGTAAACTATTCGTATCACGATAACCGGACGTGGAAGATGTCTGTGATACAGAATCCCAAGATATTTCTCCTATCGGTTTGGGATGTTCTTCCTGGGACAAAGCAGTAACCTACGAAAATGATATTTTAGAAACTTCATAGTAATGCTGATGACCACAACTTACAATACTAGGCGGTTCCATGGGTGTTAAACGACTACGTTTCAAGCGGAATGTTTTACGACTGGCTGCTTTAGTTCTTTGCAGCCGTGATCGTGTATGATCACCTGAACTATCTTCGGCTGGACTTTCTGGCGACAGTGGTGTGGTGGATGTTTCGCCCGAGGAATGTCTAAATTCAACGGATGACACAAAACGCAGTTTCGGTGGTTGGGCCTTGAACGGTGCCTGTTGTAGACTTTGTGAGTGAGATAATTGCGATGTTACCCCAGATGGAAGAGCTGTGGCAATTGTGGCGGAACTGGTGCCTTGACTAGAAGCAGCTCCCGAACCGGATGCACCACCAGCACCAATAAGAGTAGGAGCTGAACCAATTGCTTGGTCACCACCACTGTGACTTTCGCTGGTCGTGTGATGATCTTTGCCCGTTGAACTGCTAGAAAGTGATTCTCGGGGGGGATGTAGCGTTTGTTGGGACAGTGTATCACTGGGTGTACAGATGCCACCTGAACCGCTGCGAGAATCAATAGGTGCAGCCGAAACATGTGAGTGAGTTGCTTGCCCTGTAGTGGTACCAGTGAAAATTGAAATTAAAGAAGGTCGTTGTTGGGATTTATTATGTGCATCTGTACCGCTTGTGGCTGCCGGGGTATCGCTCTTCTTTTGGTCGGAACTCTCACGATCTGTAAGATTCGACAAGTGAAATACTAGTTGCATACGAATATATGTTTCTTACTGTCACGATTTTCTTCCAATTCCTTTCTTAGCTCCCTCATGTCTCGGGCCAGTTCTAAGAGTAAGGCTCCCTTGGATTTTATGCCACCTTGAGGAGGAGTTCCTCTTAATCTTTCACGGATAATAAACTGCATGTGTCGTTCATGGTCTCCAATTGGCGGCTGGGAGATCTAAAACGAGATAACAATATTTAAGAAGGGATTTCTTTGTTTTGGAATTCACTCGCTTACCTTGTGCAAAATAAAGGGCAACAAAACTATGTAAAGTGGTGTCCTGTGAGTCACAACAAATAACAAGAAACTCCACAGGTCCGGTGCAGCTTCATTTCTTCGCCCCAAATCCCGCATTACTCTCACAATTCTTGGCCATTCGGTGGACAAACGACTCTCAAAGCATATACATACAATTCTCAGGGCCAAAAATGCTGCCTGGTACAAAGAACCTGCAATTCTTGCCGGTCTTTTGGCATCCCGACTGCCAGTAAATGTTAAAGATCCCGTTCTCAAGTCACCCCCAACTCGATTGATTTGTGAAACCGCTTGACCGGTGCGTCCCGCTGGTGGACTCATGGCATTGAGCACGGCAGTTAACAAATAACTAACATCGGTCATTTTTAGCTCACCCACATCGGAAACCCCGCTTCCGGAACAGACTTTCAAGCACAGAGGCATTATTAAATGCATTAGATATCCTTCGGCCTTCTCCTGGGTGGCAAATTCTGCACTACCGCCACATATTTGCACAAGAGAAAAACAATCGACAGGACTTACCACCTGGAGAGCCACCAAACGCACTACCGTCGAACAGATGGAGGCCGGGGGATTCTGAGACATAAGGGCAGCCCCGGCGCTTGATATACCTTCCGGAACCGAGGAACCGGGTTCATTAACAATGAGATTTTGTACGGTGCTTATTAAGGTTTTCATTTGTTGCCAATGCAAGACATAGGGATGGCGCACAATGGTTTCGTGAATACCTTTGAGTAGACCTGCGGCTGCATCCCAATCCGTGCTACGTCTTATGGAAGGTTTCTTAGAGATTTTCAAAAACACTTTATCGACACGTCTCAAGATGGTAACTAAAGCATTGCGCAGTGTATCATTAGACCATTCAGCTCGAGGCAATACAGCCTGCATATAACGTTGCAAACCCCGACAGGCCATTGATTCGGGATCATAGGGAGATACTTTGAGCAAAGAATGAGCAATGTCGGCCAACCGTATGTGACATTTGGCATCTAAAACTTCGGTCGATTTATTATCGTCTTTGGGCATTTTCTTGGAGAGTTCTTGCAGGCGTGTTGTGGCTTTGCTTAGAAAATCTCCCACCACCGAAAGTAAAACATCTCTGGGTCTGCGATATTCGTTCCTAATCTTTTTTGAATCCTCCCCGCAATCGAATGTATTTTTCGTACGTGGATCATTGATGTATTTCGAATGAGATTCTTCTTCAAAGTCTAGTCCAGGGGAATAGGGTGGTCCCCGACTGTAGTTGCGTTGCGATGAACCCTTGTGATCGGGACTGTTGCGATAAGGCCCATTGTAGCTTTTTGCTAAACCTTCACAGTTGTGGACCATAGTGCGTATGGCCACTGCCAGCTGTAAAATAATATCACGTTCTGACTTTCCTTGTAAAGGGATGTAGCTGGGCGATTGGATTTGTTGGAGATAGCAGGGTAAAATGGCTTCCAAAATTATCTGAAAGAAAGACAATTAGACAGACACATAGTAATGCATTCATTTCGGAAATACATACCAACATTTGATAGCCTCTCGTGCTCTCTGCCGAATAGGAAACCACCATTACACATAGAGTAATGCAATCCAAAACAGTAACATCGCCATCTTCATCGTGATAACAAAAATCAATGGCCTTTAAGGGTTTTGGTTCCTTAACCAATTCAGCAATATTCAAGGGATCTGGCGAAGGATCTTCCAAACTCAGCAATAAGTTGAAGAGGCAACTGGATTGGACCTAGAAACAAACAAATTGTATTATAATTAGAAACAAAATAACAAAATGCATTTATCTTACCTTATGGGCATAACCATTGGGGCCATCCTCGTCGGTATCCAAAATAGCTGATACCGAACCAAACATTTGCAAAATAAATGGTTTGCGATTCAATAAATAGAACTGTTTCACCGCATATTCAATGGTTGTAGTAATAAGTTTATTTGTCTGATGCAGAGAATAAATTTGTAGCAGTGTCGGCATTATCATAAAATACCCATTTGTCGAGAAAATATTCTTGAAGTTAAAGGCAGCGTTGATGTAGGTAGCCATAACATAACGCATAATGCAGGAATCCTCCGCATGCAAGAAAGCCGCTCCCGACAACACATTCAAAAATAATTGAATATCGGCTGAATACGCAAAATTGCCAGCCATGGCTTCAAACATTCGCGCAATTAGACGCACCCACATAAATTTATGCAGGACATCTAAACCCAACAGCACTTTGCCATATTCACCACTTTGATGTAAATCCAAATCCACTTCCAAAGCTTTACGTGGAAATGATGGCAACTTCATGAGTTCTTCGTGTAAGAAGACGACACGCTGAACAACCATATCGACATTCTTTAGAATGGCCCAAGTTAGATGCACTTTGCCAATTTCGACAAATTTCTTGGTCAACTCTTGTTTTTGTAAGGCCAAAAATGATTCGTCCGGTTTGAGCAGGACTAAACGAACCTCAGGATACTGTGATCGTTTAAAGAAGTACAAGTCACGTATATACCAATTTGGATTTAGTATTTTATCTGAAATGCAGAGAAAGAGAGGATGAATGTTAAATTCTTGAAGATGTACTTTGAATAAGGTAAATGTTCGAACTTTTCAGAAAAACTCCGCCCATGGAATAGAACTGAGAACAAGTCTTGTTAATGTTTTCTTAGTCAGTTTTTGCCAAAGTCCCATTTTCTATATGATCCACAGTAGCAGGAGTAGACATAGGCCCGGTAAATAAGATTTTCGAAGTAGTGAATAAGCTTAGAAAAACACCACACAAGTTAATATTAATTACAGCAGTGATGGTATCACGGCAGTGTAGATATAAGCCAACTTAGGAGACATTAGAGAAACAGAGAAGCAAAAATCAAGGGAAAGGGGCTTCTTGGCATGTTGATAAGGTGATAGTGAATGATAACACAATGTATATATTACTGGCTGATTGGAAATCAATGCCTAGACGAAACGGGTGAAACTAGAATCTTGAAATGTTGCACGAGGCTCAGTTTTGTGTAGGTGTGTGATAAGTACTAAAATGTACTAAAAATTGTATACTTTGTATTGCCGAAACGGAATAAACTAGAATACTTAAATTCGAAATAAGAGACACTGATGGAGTGCGGGATATATAGATTTTTGCCAATTCGAACTTTAAGCTTACAAAAAGTTCTAAAATTGTACCATTTGGTATTATGAATGAAAATCAAAGTTGGAAAGTAAGTTTAATATATGAAGGTGGTTAGGAAATTTTGTACAAGTTCACGAAAAGTGGATGAAATGATAGTGCATGTAATCTGAAATTTGGTGTTAGGGTTGTTCCGGAAATATGTACTTTAATTGTATTTGTACTGGATGAAGGGATAGAGATAGAATTAAAAAAAATAAATAAAATTTAATATTTAGATTGCTGATGGTATCTGTGTTTGAGATTTAGCAGTGCGTCCTATATTTGTACGAAAAGTACTCAATTTGGTATTAGGTGAAGGGGTAAGGTTGAAATCCTAAAATTTGATATAGATGTCACTGTTGGTGTCTGTGGTTAAGATATGGAGGTGGTTTTGGATATCTAATTTTATATACCTAAATCAGGTTTCGGCAGAACGAATAGAGATAAAATTGTGAAATTTGATATTTAGATAAGTGTTGGTATCTGAGGTTGAGATTTGGAGGTGTATTTGGAAATGTGTACGTTAGTTGTTGGAAAAGTACTAAATTGAACGGATTTTAGTATTGGGTAAAGGGGTAGAGCTGGAGTTCCGCAATTTGAATTTAAGGTCTCTGTTGGTATCTGGTCTTCAGATCTGGTTTGTTTTTTTTCAGAAAGTGCTAGGAATGAGATATGCAGATTGTTTTGGATATGCGCACTAAATGTTACAAATACAAAACTGGAAGTTTGCCATTGGTGGGCAGTGTTATTACCCCTGCTGTGTTCACAAATTGGAATAATTCAAAACAAATGTTAGGAGTTCTAGGTTGTTTAGCTTTTAAACCATCTAGTTTAAGATGCTGTTTTTCACAAGAATGAAAGGAAAATATGTAAATTTTTAACTACAAATGCTGAAAGTCAAGTAAATCAGTATTATTTTATAAGCTCATCTTAGAATTATGGATAAAAATTCATAAATAACCGGTGAAGAAACGTCAATCGACTATATGATACCCTACACCACTATGTATATTTAGTGGAGCTACCAATAACAAATATTTATATTAGGAATTTATGTGAAGCAAATTATACCAACTATGAAACTTTTATGAATGCTTTAAAGCAGTCATAATTTGAAATTGGACGAAGCTAATATATGAGAGCTATATTCAACTCTGAATCTATTTCCGGCAATTTTGACGGAGACATTTGTATTCTCGTACCAAATAACATTGATAAATTATATTAAGAAATATATATCGGAGTAATAGATATATGGAAACAAAGTTTTGCTAAATATTGTATTAGTTTCCATCAAATGTCATATGAATTCGGTTAAATGTGCAAAAACCCACTCCATTTGGGATGATATTAACCATTCGGTGTACAATAACCGTGAAATCGGGTAAAAATATGTATGGAAGCTATATGTAAATCTGAACCGACCTCGATAAACAAAATATCATTGTTTGCGAGTGCATATTACGAGTGTAAGGGACTTAAACAACAAATCGGTAGTATCTGCGAATGTCAATCAAACTTGGGATGATATTAGATATTTGGTGCAAATCGTATAAAAATACAGGGTGAGATGGAAAAACTGCAACCAATTTCAGACTGCTGTCAATTCTAAGCCACTCGTCCGATAACTGTTAAAATTATTCCAGTGACAGCTCATTATATTGTTTACGAGTGTACAAAAGCATTTAGGTGAGAATTTTCCAGAAAAAAAGTTATTCGTGATAGTGTGATTCCTTTATATTTGGCTGGAAAACCACAAGTGGCTATCGTTAGAGCACTCCAGCATTTAAATTTGAATAAATCTTTTGTGTCTCGTACCATCGCTCGTTACCGTGATACTGGTAGCGTGACCCGCCGTCAAGGAAGTGAAGTGTACGGACGAAAACACCAACATCAGCAGCAGTGATTTGAAAACTAAAGAAGCGACTTGATCGAAACCGGCGTGGCAGTGGGCGAAAAATGGCTCGTGAGCTGAACATATCGCAATATTTCATTCGGCAAATATTGAAAAATGAGCTCGGGGTAAAGCCAAAAAGTGCAAGAACTTACACCACAACAGAAAGAAAATATACTCAAAAGCGCTAAAGAGTTGCTCCGCTTGGCCGAAAGTGGTGAACTGCCGAATATGGTTTTCTCCGATGAGAAAACATTCGTTGTCCAGCAGTTTGTAAACAAACAAAATGATCGTGTTTATATTGCCAAAGATGTCAGCTGAAAATTTGCGTTTTCGGTTGGCCACCAGAACTCAAGCGCCGGACATGGTGATGGTGTGGCCCGTATTAATTGACCGTGGCATCAGAATAAATGCCGAATATTATCGCGAAAATATTCTGGAGGGTGTATTAAAGCCTTGGGCACGCAAACATTTTGTCCGCAGACCTTGCACATTCCAACATGTCTCAGCACCATCGCACTCAGCACGCACCAAAATGAGGTTCCTCGCTTCATTTCAGCGCACAATGTTCACCAAAATCTACGGATACCAATCCGTTGGACTATTGTGTCTGGGGTATTTTGGAAAGCAAGGTTGGCACTGAAAAATACCAAAGTGTCGATCACCTCAAGCAAGCGCTTCGTCGGGAATGGGCCAAAATACCGCAGAGCAACATTCGCGCAGCGTGTGCCAAAGGTGACATTTTTGGCTTTCTTTCAATAAAATTAAAAAACGTGTAAAAATTATGGCGATTGAGTTTGTTGCATTTTTTTATCTCACCCTGTATATATAATATTTATAAAAGACATTTATTGTGTATACTATTACTTACTGCTCTTATAGTCCACCAAACAATAATTATCTACGTTCTTCTCATCCACTGGATAATAGTCCAAAGCTTCTTTTAGCAATTGACAGAAAAGCGTATCTTCCTGCACGGGAAACTGGGAGGGTATATTGCAATCATCATCCGTTGGGCCATGGACAACGATTTTCTTAGCAGCCGGCACATTGGCAGTTAAGAGAATCGATGCATCACATTGTTCCTTACGGAGAATCTGTTTCAAGTCCTTGAACATAATGCCGTGAACACTGTGGACAACCATCCATAAAATGGATAACGCCGAGCCGACAAGCTGCCAAAATATCAGAAAATGAATATTATTATGGTATGGTGATATTGTATTACTCATGGACAAACCTCCTGTTTAAGGTCATTGGATGATCGAACATAGAACATAATATAACCAATAATGGAGTTGTACAAAGCAAAGGCAGCCTGCTGGGGTAGACGTGGAACAAAACGTATCAAGTGACGTAATAATTTAAACATTTGATCTTGGCGATCGCGTGTTAGGCGTTCAAATACATAGCGCAAGAAGAGGGCCGACTCTTCAACCAGGCATACCCAAATCACCTGATAGGCTACCTCATAAACTGCATTGCCATCTGAACCGATGGCAGCATCATCCAGACAGCCAACAATTTGCATAACAGAAGAGCACAGAACCGATGGAAACAGTGAATGGGAATGATGTAAATGTGAGGACATGCGTGTTCCATCGATTTCCTCTTCACCTTCATGATCTTCATGTTCCATACCAGGTTCATGGGAAGCCTGTTGGCTAACGGGTATGGTGGTAATTAAAAAACTGTGACGTTCGGCACGTTGTTTGTCGCGTTGTTGGCGCAAGGCGTTACGTATGGCTTCTGTTTGTTGCATTTTACGACTCTTGGTTGCCGTAACTGAGAATAAAATGGTTAAGGGAATAATTAGGAACTATCTGATGAGAGAGTTTTTACAATGCGTCTACCTTTATATCCCACATGACGATCCTGATTCAAAGTAACATCCATATCTTTGGTTTGCTGTACCGGCATCCATGGCGGATCCACAACTGGCAAACTTTCAATGCCAATTTTTGGCGAGGGCAGTGTAAATTCAATGCCACCTGGTGGTACCTTGAAGGTCACGTCGTGAGCATTTTCTTCCATGCGTGGCCAAACATGAAAACGGTTCTTCCACAAAATCAAATATCTGAAAATAACGAAAGCAGGTGTCAAAGAGAATATTTCAAGATATTTGGCCTGCTCCTCACCTTTGTATGGCCCCAATTCTAACATCCGGGTCCTTGTTCTTCAAAGCCCTTTGCATAATGTCAAAGGCATAGTTTTGTGCCTTAACCGAACCCATTAGGAAAACTGCAGCCGATGCCGATGCTGTATCTTGATTGGTTTCCAACAGCAGTTCCCATGCGGCGGGCATTGCTTCAATTACCATTTCTTCGGTTAAGATCACTGCACCTTTGAGCATTGTTGCAAAGGGATAATGAAAGAGGCTGCGTATATGAAAACGTATAAATTTCAATATCGGTGGTTCTTCCTGTTCTTTTTTTTCGCGTTCTTGGCGAAAAGCTTTAGCCAACTTTTCAGCCATTTCCAAATCCGGATCATCACTGATGCGATCTTTACGCGATAGGCTGTCTTTACGTTTCGATGGTGATGTCTGTGTCGAACTTTGTTCCGAGACTTTACGAGCCGATCGAGGACGTTGCTGCTGATGGACTTTAGATGAAGAAATAACTGTGGGCTCCAAGTTTGGATGATCCGAATCAAATGTAAAACCGAATTCTTCACCATAAACCTGCAAAAAAAGAAAAAAGTTTATTTTTTGGTCGATTTTTTTTTAAAAATTGTTAAAATCGTGAGTATGTTTTTCAAAATCGTCAAAGCTACAATCGTGGATTCGTGGAAACTTTCAAAGGACCTTTTGTGGATCGTGGAATTTTTAAGGAGACATTTCAAGACTATTAGGGGTTTTAGTTGCGATCGTTGGTTTTTCAAAGATGAAAAATATGAAATCGGGATTTTGCCTTATAAAGGGGCTATAACAAAATGTGTTTTAGAAACATCATCGCGGATTTTAAGCAATATTAGGGCTACAATCATGGACTTATCAAGGACGGATTTTTTAAAGAACTCTTCAAAGCAACTAAAGCCATAAACATATTTATTTCAAAATATTTTAAACTAGCAAGGGTCCGCTAATTCATCAGCAAAAATTCCACCTTAAAATTTTAGATTTGTTCCAACAGTTAGTGTAAGGCCTACTGCAAAAGCACAATTTGTTCAGTTTGACAATTTTTTTACTCAAAACTTCTTATATCCTACTAAATTTTCAGACTTTCAAGGTTTTATAAATTATTCAAGTTTTTCCTTTTTCGGAAAGAATAATAGGAAAATGTTTACCTGTAACACCAAAAAGTCTTTAATTTTGAAGTTTGCCGGGGAGGACATTAGTAAAACCATTGAAAACCATTCATTAAAGGACATTAGTAAAACCATTGCAAGCCATTCAAATTTTCTGCCCAAAACTTTTTCAACGTTTCCATATGTAAATTCTAGAAATCAACGGTGACCTCAATATCAACATCAGACCTCTAGGTCAAACCATTTATCCAATACCAAATTTAGTAGCATTTAGTACGCATATCCAATACAATCTACATCTCTCCACCCTAGACACCAACAGTGATCCAAACTGTATACCATTTAGTACTTTCGCACAATTGTATACACACTTCCAAATTTCAATTCCAGATACCAACAGAGACGTCAATATCAAATTTGCGGAATTCCAGCTCTATAACTTCGCCCAATACCCAATTTGTTACAAATTAGTACTTTTCGGATAATAATAGTACACATTTCCAAAATCACCTGCATATCTTAACCACAGACACCACATAAAATTTTAGGTTTTTAGTTCTATTTTTTTTATTCTTAAAAGGCGACCTCCATACCTCCATTCTAGATACCAAAAGTGACATTAATATCAAATATGCGGATTTCAGCTTAATTTTTTCGCCCAATACCAAATTTGGTATTATTTAGTACCATTATAGTACACATTTCCAATACCATCTCCATATCTTAACCACGGACACCAACAGTGAAATCTGTATCAAATTTCAGGATTTCAGCTTTATTCCTTCGCGCAATAACAATTTATTACCACTTAGTACTTTTCGAACAATTATAGTACACATTTCCAAAACCATAGACATCAATAGTTACAACCATAGACACCAATAGTTACATCTATTTCAAATTTCAGTATTTCAACTCTATTCCTTCACCCAATGCCAATTTTGGTACTATTTAGTACTTTTCATACAATTATAGACAACGTTCCAAAACCACCTCCATACCGTAATTATCCAATTTCAGAATTGTATCTCTACCCCTTCGCCCAATACCAAACATAGTATTATTCAGTTCATTTCGTACAATTATAGTAAACATTTCCCGAAACCACCTACATATGCTAGGTTACACATGAACAGCGAGTTCAAGCACCCAATACCAAATCTAGTTCTATTTAGTATTTTTGATTCACGTTGAGAACACATTTCCAAAACAACAACTTTATTACAAACCTACTACCAAAAGGGACCCCAATACAAAATTTCAAAATTTGAGCTAAATTGGTTCACCCAAGTCTAAATATTTCAAATTTAGTACCATTTAGTACAGTTCGGATACTTAATATACATTTCATATATTCAAACTTACTTCACTTCATACATCAAACTTACTTTCCAACCTTGATTATCCTATCAAATTTCAAGTTTTTACCTCTATCGGTTTACATAGTACCAAATAGTACCGTTTCAGAAGTTTGGTAACATATTAAAGTTGGAAAACCCTTTGATACATCTTTCCTGCAGTCTATCAATGACTTTCATCCAATTTTTTTAGAATGCAAGTTGATTCCGTTTGTCCAATGCAAAGTATTATATTTTCAGTACATTTTTGTACTTTTCGTATAATTTTAGCACGAATTTCCCAATATCCAGCCTTATCATATGCCTACGCACCATACTAAAGTTCAAGATACTACTTCAACCGTTTCTTTGGGCGTTAATTCGATATTCATGGTTCATGAGAATTGCAATCGGGTATTTTCAAATAACGTTATTCAAGGGATGTAAAATCAATAATTATAGACTTCAAAAAGAACTATTGAAGAAGGGAGCTTATTAACCAAAAATAATTTTTAAGGACTGTAATAGCGGATTTTTTTTTACCTTGAGGACTTACAAGGGCCATAGTAAAAAAAAAAATTAAAAATATATTTTTAAGGTGTAAGGTGTAATCGACGAAGAATATTTTGTAAATTGAAAATCATTTAAAAGAAGTAAGCAAAGGCTATAGACGTGCGGGGCCGACGATGTGATACCCTGAAACACTACAATATGGTAGGAATCCCCTTATATCCAAATCCATTTTGGAAGATTTCGCTTTTGAAATAGAGCATTGCCCAGATATTACCCTTAGTTTTGTGAACAGGGACATTTGCCCAATATTTATGCACTCCGTTGTGCTGTTAGTTACAGCTAAATACAGGTGAGTTAAAAAAAAAAACAAAGTCGAGCGCCATATTTTTTACATTTTTTTATTAAAATGTCGGAAATAGCATCAAATTTTAGAATAAGTTCAGATATGTACGAATCGGTCACCTTTGGCACGAATTATGGCCTTTAAACGGCCAATGAAACCGTCACACGCTGCCCGAATGTTGCTCAGCGGAATTTTGGCCCATTTGCGGCGAAGCGCTTTCTTGAGGTGATCGACACTTTGGTATTTTTTAGTGCCTATCTTGCTTTCCAAAATATTCCAGACACAATAGTCCAACGGATTGGTATACGGAGATTTTGGCGTGCCCAAGGGTCCAGAATATTTTCGCGATAATATTTGATATTAATTCTGATGCCACGGTGGATTAATATAAGCGGAGAGTGACCATCGGCTGTTATGGCGGCCCACACCATCACCATGGCCGGCGCTTGAGATCTGGTGGCCAACCTATGTTCAATTGACCTCTATGCAAGTAAACACGATCATTTTGTTTGTTTACGAACTGCTGGACAACGAATGTTTTCTCATCGGAGAAAGCCAAATTCGGCAAACTCTTTTGAGTATATTTTCTTCTTGTTGCAGTATAAGTTCTTGTACTTTTTGGAGCTCATTTTTTAATATTTATCGAATGGAATATTTCGATATGTTCAGCTCACGAGCCATTTTTCGGCCACTGTGACGCAGGTTTCGATCAAGTCGCTTCTTCAGTTTTCAAACCATTGCTGCTGATGTTGCTGTTTTCTTCCGTACACTTCCTTGACGTCGGGCCACGCTACCAATATCACTGTAACGAGCGATGGTACGAGATCAAATTTAAATGCTGGAGTGCTGTAACGATAGCCACTTGTGGTTTTCCAGCCAAATATAAAGAAATCACACTATCACGCTTGAATTCCATCACGAATGACTTTTTTCTGGAAAATTGTCACCAAAATGCTTTTGTACGCTTGTAAACAATATAATGAGCAGTCACTGGAATAATTTTAACAGTTATCGGACGAGTGGCTTAGAAATGACAGCAGTCTGAAATTGGTTGCAGTTTTTTCATCTCACCCTGTATAATACAATGGTCATCTAAGATGCTTGACTTCTTCCCAGTCCTTAAATATCTTCTCATGCAAAATTCCGTGTCGATTGGTAAATTGTGTGATCAGCAAAATTTTCCTGTTTTTATTTATTAAATAGTTTGCGATCATCTCAAAATGCAAGAGGCCCCTCTGTATCTCCAAATTTAGACTCATCTATATGATTTGATTGTCTACGATATTTGGCTATATTCGGCAACGAAATCGGCATAAAAAAGTCAGAAGTTTGCCATTTGTGTATTTTGAACTTCGCCTGTAAGTTATTTTCAGCGTTGGTATTTTTTTTATACCCTCAGCCATTTGGCTAAAGGATATATATAATTTGATACGGTCAAAACGTGACTAGTGGAAATAACGGTTTTAGACCCTAGTTCTCTTTAGATGAAATCCGTTTCAGAACATTTGGAGTCGATCTAGCGATGTCCGTCCGTCCGTCCGTCCGTCTGTCTGTCTGGCTGGTGCGTACGATAACTCTCGAAGCGAGTATCCGATTTGGTCCAAACAAACATCGTGATATTTTTGTCAAACTTAGATCGAGTTCAGAGATGGGCAGTATCGGTCCACTCCTTCTGATACCACCCCCACAAAAGTTCGAAATTTTCAAAAAATATATTTTTGCACAGAAAAAGAAAGGATAATCCGATTTTGCTCCAACTTTGCAAATCTCAATATTTGCGTCAGTCCTAGGTCAGGTGTGAAAATGGACAAAATCGGTCCACCCCATCAAGTACCTCCCCCACAAAAGGTCGATATTTTTAATATCCATTAAGCTCATAAAACGCGAAATTAACAGCGGATCCAATTTAGACTTGGCACATCTGAATATTTCTATCAACACAGGATCTGTTAGAAAAAACAGTAGAGATCGGACCATTCCTTCTGGTACCTCCCCCCCAAAGGGTCAAAGTTTTGAATAACCAAAACGTTTATAAAATCCGAAATAAGCATCAGGTTCTCTTTATATTTCACACATCCCATTATTTCCACTAACAAAAAATCCGTTGTGAAGATGGGATATATCGGTCCACTCCTTCTGGTACCTCCCCACGTAGGCTCAAAATTTTAAATATCCATGAAGCTCATACAAAAGCGAAATTTACATCCGATTCTATTGAATACTTGGTACAACTCAATATTT